CCAGGGGCAGAGCGTTCCACAGTTTGGGAGCCGCTACAGAGAAGCAACGGTCCCCTCTGAGCTTTGACCTGGTTTTAGGCACATTCAGGAGCAGTTGGTCCGCTGACCTGAGAGGGCGGTTCGGCGTGTAATGCTGTAGCAGCTCAGTAAGGTATGGTGGGGTCATGCCATTTAGGGATTTAAAAGTAAATAAAATAATTTTAAAATGGATCCTAAAATAAATTGGCAGCCAGTGGAGAGAAGCTAAAACAGGGGAAATGTGGTCATACTTCCGTGTGCCAGTTAAGAGCCTTGCTGCGGCATATTGCACCCGCTGCAGTCGTGCGAGGGAGGACCCACTGACCCCCATGTAGAGAGAGTTACAGTAGTCCAGCCGGGTGGTAACAAAGGCATGGATTACTGTCTCAAACTGCTGTCTGGAGAGAAAAGGTTAAAAAAAAAGTAATGGCTCACTTTTAGTTATACAGTCTTAATAATCGTGTGTATGAATGGAAGATTACACCGGGCAGGTGTTGTGGGAATGGGACACAGGGGTTCTTGTAGGACCCAATCCACTGAGGAATTCATCATCTTCACATAGATTTTCAGATTAAAACTTCTGAGAAGTCCACTTAACGTTCCGCCCGAGCACGACAGGGGTGAGCAAGTATTCCACTTGTAATTGTCAAACAAGCTGGTGGCCGTTCACTCCACAAGGTCACAGGATCTCACGGTAGAGAGGGATGGAGGGAGAGGCCTAGAGTTGGGCATAATCTGGAGCCAGAGGATTTGAGCCATGACTGTAAGGAAGGGTCTGAGGCTGAGTCATAATGATTCTTGATGCCAATCGAACCCAGAAACCTTATGTGTCATTGCAGTGCTTTCAGAAAGTGTTGAGTTAGTTGGTAAGAGCTAAATGTTGTTTGTCGACACTGTGTGCTGTGTGGAGCACTATACCAGCCTTGCTTTTTCCATGGCTGATCCTAAACCCTCTGAAACTTGACTACAGCCATGCTAGCAGTATCATGTGCTTTGAGCTAAATCCTGCTAACATGCTAACATGACAATGCAAACATGTTGATGTTGAGCAGAGAAAATGATTACAATGTTTACCATATTAGCTTAGCATGTTGGCAGCTGGTTTTGCAGGCACAAACCAAGGTACTGGACAATTTGAAAAGATGACCTGATGATAGCAGTATATAAGAAGTCCAAGGATCAAGAAAGTTGTTACATTTCATACTGAGGGTAACACAGATGTCTATAACAAGATTCATGGCAATCCATCCAAAATGTATTGAGACTTTTGACATGAACGTGAAATGTGAACTTCGCGGTGGTGCTCGAAGCAAAGTGTGAGGATCACCAAAATCCTTCAGATACATCGTAAATGTCTGTGCAAAGGTGTGTGACCATCCGTCCTTTAGATGTTCACATATTTCACAGAAAACATCAATAAGCTAATTCCTCTAGGACCCATGCATGTCTGAAGATAATTTTATGGCAATCCATCAAATAGTTTTTGGGAGGAGTTGATCAAACACAATTAATTTTGACAGGCAACGAGCTCTTCCTCCACACCAATCAAATCAAATCAAATTGGCCTTGCCCTGCTCATAAAACCAATGTAGAAAGCGTTCACGTTACCACACACAGCAATGATTTACATGTCAATTTAAGGATGCACCACTTACTAGATGACCTTGCATCTGCTTAAATGTTCACACTCTCCCATACCTTACAGAAAACCACCTATAGACAAACTACAAAGACAAATTGGAGTACCAAACCCTTGGCCTGGTTGAACCCACTGAACCCTCTTACGTTCAAGCAGAACTGCTTGTAGAGCCAGAACAAGAAGGGTGGGGGGGGGGGACGTGTAGTTTTGAATCACTGCTGCTATTTTGACTCAGGGGATTCTGCGAGACAGAGAGAGGAAGACAGCAGGAGGCCTGACGGTGTCAAAACACATTATTATAGTCGCCGCATGGAAAACAGCAACTGGACCAGACCTCACAGAGAGAAGGAAAAACACAGACTGAGGGAGAGAGGAGAGGCAGGAAAAAGAGTCAAGGACAGAGGACAAGAGTGGAACACTACAAGGATAAAGAAATTAAGTTCAGTATTTTTTTGTAATCTAGTTCTGATCCCCTGAAAGATGAGATACTCTTTGGACTTATCTGACTGTTTCCAAACTGCTTTTACTGAGATCCAAACAAAAGCAGAGTGCAAAGTGAAAAACAAAAGCACTTGTGAGTCCCTCTGGATGGCAGTAATGGAAAATAGAAGTAATCATCTCTGTCATTTGTTACCTCAATACAGTTGTATGTTTCAAAAGACACAACATTGAGTTGTTAATCTATTTTTTCTTTTTTTTTAAGGTTTTGGTTTGTTCACACCTTACAGATGATCTCAGATAAATACAGATGGCCATTCATGTGTTGCTCAGCCTCCATACTTAATACTCCAGGCGATGGCGATTTAGGGCATTGAAACTCCAACTGTCAGTATGCATTGCCATTATACCCCCGCTCCTCACCCCCACTCCCACCCCTTGGCCTGGATCTGTAAAGTATGGTTCACCATGCGCTCACAGATAAGCTCAGCAAGGGCGATAACCCGCACTGTACACCGAACCTCGGGCAAAAAATCCCGGAGCCCATCCTTAGGACTTGTAATCAGGTGTGCCGCACGCCCTCCACTCGACATCCACTCAACACTCTGTATCACACTCCACATTCGGCCCCGTGTCACCCTCAGACTGCCGCTGCCAGTGAGCTCACTTTCAAACCATCATTGGCACCCATCTACTTGCTCAAACACCTCCTCACCACCAGCCTGACGCCGCGACAGCAGGCGGGTGTAAATCAGCTGAATGTGGAGAGGATAGACAAGAAGCATTATGGTCCCACAACATGACCCCTCCATTTTAAGGGGCCAGGGATGATTTGGCCCACCCAAAGCTGTATTTTTCCACAAGCCTGGATCACAATCATTGAAAAAAGGACTTCAGTGTAGGAGACAGGGAAACTGGTGCCCCAACAGCACTGCTGTTTTTTCCCAGAGATCTGTGACTCAGAACATCATTAGCACACACACACTACTGTTATTCAGGCCTTGCAAAACGCCCTTCACTGCCCCACCTACTCCCCCTGTTTCTCCATTCAGAGACTCACATGGAGCAGATTGTGCTGTGGTTTTACTGAACAAGGAACTCAACAACATAATTAGCTTTATTCAAGCTTAATCCTCTATTCATTTCAAATGAAAACAAGTCATAAATGGATAATGTCACTGTGTTTGTGTGTTTGACGCCAGACTTAACAATAGCACATGTTTCCAAATGCCTCAATCACGCAACAATTGAGACAGGGCATATACTCAGACTGCTAATGAGGGTTTTCTTCTAGTTTAGTCCAAGTCATTTTGCTGTTAATTGCTACCCCTGCTGCCCTCCGGAGAGACAAAATGACTCCTTTATGATCCTCTAGACGTCTAGACTCTCTGAGTCTAGACTGTTTTCATATCTGATAACTAGATAGAAAGTTGCTCAGGTGACCTTTTTGCTTGGCAAAAAACAAACCTCTGCTCCCTGATAGCAGGATGAGAGGCTTGTGAAAGAAGCCAGCTGGCTCTGGTTGAAAGCCCTTCGCCCAGGCAAATAGGTCAGTGCCGCTGGGCCACAAACTCTGCAAGTAAAAGGAACCTGAGGCTCTCCAAAGTCCTGGTCTGATCTGTCGTCAACCAGCAGTGGGTGTCCAGCCAGTGGTCAGCCGGTCGGCCCATTTGACATGAGCTTTAAGGAGGGGATGGAGCGAGGGAGGGTGGAGGGAGAGCTGGAGGACAAGAGCCGAGTTGTGTTGCAAGGCTGATTATGCGTGCTGCGGGGCTTGTTTCCTGGATGTTGTGTTTGTGTTGGAGCGGGTGGCTCCAGCAGATGTTGCAAATGAAGGAGGTGTTGTTGTGTGTTGACATTGTGATGGTGTTTGGAAAGGAAACGTTTCCAAGATCCCTAATATTGCACCATCTTCAGGCTTTTGATACTGTATTCTATTAATAAGTCATTACTTTCCAGTTACTCTTATAATTTGCTCAGAGGTGGCAGCTAAAGCAGCAGACTTAACTGTAACCATCACACTCGACTGGTTCTGAGGACTACACGAACTGTCACCGTGGGAAGAAAAAAAATATGTCTGCTCCGCTCTTGCTCACTTGTGCAGCAGAAATGGGGGACAAACTGTGTTTTTATACGCATTGTATTGCTTTCTCTAGGTCTGCAGTGTCTGTGGCACTGACACAATCAGCCCCCAGCTGTGCCCTCTGCCCACTCACACCATCCATCTGCCAATGTAAGCACACAAACACTGCTTCAACAAACATCAGATGACCTTTTGCCTCTTCCAAAGCCACCTGCATACACAATCGGACACCTACAAACACAAGCAGGCACGCACTCATCCGCACACAAAAGTTAAAGCTGTGGAATGATATACAGCCTTGATAATGTTTGATTATGGAGCTCTGAAAGACTTTATGGTTGTTTTGTTGAACAGAGATAGAGAACATTAAGGGAGTTTGTGACAACACTGTAAATGCACATGGTGACATAAAATATATTATCATAAAGGAGAAATAGTGTACGGACTATTGTAGTCTAATTGTATTGCCATTGTCCTATATCATTTAAATAAGGGAAATTATAGTCTTCGCATCTTTATTGGAGTGTGTAAATAATATAGTTTTAACATAATATGATCTGAAGCAAGGACTAAAGGTTGACTTATTCATCATTTTCTTACAAGGAAACAATACTTCAAACACATTTGAATTACCCATCCGTTTAAATTGCAGCTTTTTACATGATATGACGCAGAAAAGCAACTTGCATTCAAGGCACTCAAAGTTGCATCATTGCGCAACATGGAGACGAGTCGCCGAGCGGGGATAAATCAGTTCAAATCCTCCCTCTTTTCCCTCCCTGTGACTGGTCGGTGGCTGTGTCAGTCAGGGGGAGGGGTGCACCTCTAATTTCTATATGCCTGCATGTCAATTTAAGACTCAGATTGCGTTCTCGTGCGTCGCTGTCAGCAGCAGCAGTAAAACCTCTCTGGACTTCTACAGACTCTCTCCTGGATTTCTACGTAAATCAGCTGAGACGCTCGAGACGTGCGTGTCTACCTGCTCACACTGAACCTTTGGATATTGCTGCCCCTTCTAAACGCATCCGCACACTTCAGTCTCGTGGTGTTTTTTTGCTTTTGAAGTGTGTGCTCGAGACATCACAACACTTTAAAGGAAGACTTTTTCAACTTTGGAGTTACATGTAGCAGTGTAGTGTACATCGCATGTGGTTTTATCACCAGACCAGAAGCGGACTATTTCTCTGGGAAATTTAGGCGCTCTTTTTTGGGAAACATGTTCAGCAAGTACTCCATTGTGTTATTAAACGTCCTTTTTCTGGTGCGGGCGCTCTCGGCTCATGAGTGCACACCGTGTGAACTCCGGACATGTCCCGTCAAAGCCCCGCGCGGCTGTGACGGGGGCCGGACCTTGGCTCGGGATCCGTGCGGATGCTGTGACCGGTGTGCCCAGCTGGAGTGGGAGCCCTGCGGCGGACAGGACTGGGTGCACGGCTACTGCGCCCTGGGACTGACCTGCGCCTCTTTTAACCAAACCGAAGCAGCCACTATCCCTGAAACTGGAGTATGTAAAGGTGGGTAGTGTCATTTCCTATGAAATCATACCACTTGTGGCAGTATTGGGTGAATACATGTGCGCTTTTGAGCTGCTAACACCAATAAAAGAGCTGTAGGTGTCAACTCATTCGGTAAGAAACCATCCCCTTCCTCTATGTGGCTTGAGGGCATCGCTATTCAAATGTCAGTTAAGTCCTGACTGCAGTGGCTGTGTCAGTGTTTACCTTCTCTCTGGATGCCTGGAGCAGCTCCCCAGGTCTGAGGGGCTCTTGACTGCCAGGAGAGGAGTCATGTTCAACTGCTCTTTCCTCTCCTCAATGCTTCGTTCACTCTCCGCTCAGGGGCATCACAATTGGTTTGGCAGGAGTGATTTGGCACTAGGTCACACTTCAGCTTCAGTAGGGTTATATTCCCTTTGCTTAAAAACGAAAGTGGCATTCCTAGAAAAGATAGTTATTTCAGAAAAAGAAAGTCACAATTGGGGGTTATTAATGACTTGGCCAAGAGTTGCTGAAAGGGATTTTATAATGATCGGCCCCTTTCTTGTATTGTTTACCACCATGTGCTTTAAATGTCTGACTCAGAGTTATAATGGTTTGACAGCACGATTGCAAAAAAAGTCCCCTGCAGAATTTCATAAACAATCTTGTGAATCCACACAATCCACTGTGCTGTTCCAAGCAGTGTTGAATTGTTAGATTGTGGATGTGCTCATTTTACACACAATTTGAGCAACTTTCTGAGCATCAAAAAACTGTGCATGGTGTCAGGTTCCTCACAGTGAACGAAGTAAGTAGCAATGTCCTTCCCCTGAGGAACAAATAACTGCTGGTAGCCCCCCTCAGCCCCTCCACCTGCACTGCGTCCAGCCAGTTTCGGAATGATTGAAATGGACTGACAGGACTGTAGAGAGTAAGCAGCTCTCAGTGGGTGTCTGCATCCCCTGACCCTGCCCTCCCATCATCCCTCTGTGGGGTGGTCCAAGTCAGGGCGGCAGGTAGGTTTTCCAGGGGTCTTGAGCCCCAGGCCATCCCAGGAGACGCTGCTGCTGATTGTGCCTCGTGTACAGGTTAGGCTGGCGCCTGCAGGACATCTCCTCTGCAAATTAACAGCTTTGGAGTGAGTGGGAGACCTAATGGCTCCTCTGATTGAGTTGTGCCTCTTCTGGTCCTGTGGCTCCAGGGGCCTCGGAGCACGCTGCTGACCCCTAAATCAGACACACGCAAACCCAATATCCCAAAGGGTCTAGGTGGGGGTAAATCAACACCTCCCGGTGTGTTTTCAGGGGCCACAGTAGGCAGGCTGCGGGAGGCTGATCCCAGATTTCCCTCCTAGAGCGGCAAGGGTCTTAAAGTGATTAGCCCCGCAATCAGGAGTAGGGGGTAAATGTTTCCGCTTTCTGATCCCCTGCTTTTCTGCTCAGTTTTAATTTTCTGGGTGGTCAAAATATTTTAATGTGGAGACAAAACAACCTGTGGCAGGTGACATATTATATAAGTAGCATACCTCTGTGATGTGTCATCACCCAGTTATTGTTGATCCTGTAATTGTGTTTTGGACCTGGAAATGTTATGTATGAAACTGACATCTAAAAATAATTAGAATAGTGCTGGAGATTACCTGATAAGTGAGAGGTGTATAAATCCAGCCGTTGTTTGCCTTTGAATAGTGAAAATACAAAATATAATTGAAGGGGCCACAGGAAATAGTATTAGCAATACCCGGGATAATAAAATCTGTTTTCCCCATTAATTAATTTGACACCTAAACTGTGAAAAGTGAAGCAAATGTTGCAGTTGCAGGTTGAGTCTGTCAGGCGTGTTGTGAGTACTCAAGCACCTGCTCTGTGTCACCCAGGCCTTTTAAACCTTCTCATATTTGCATTTGTCAGTCAGATGAAATCATTAAGCAGCTAAATTATTTGTTGTGATGTTCTCATTGTCTCCCCTCCCCCGCAAGTCTCCCCAACCTCAAGCAGCACTTAACATACCACAACGTAACAGAAAGTCTCTCTTGCAGGGACGCTATGTCCACTGCACTCCTTCTTCGCATGCCTTCTACTTCTCCCTTCCTCTAGTATTATCTAATGTTTCAAAGACTTCCTTTTTAGCTCGCTATCAGCCAGAAGGCCTCTAGAGGTCAGCTTTCCCATCCTGGACATGGATGCCAAGACAAGCAGTCTCAGTAGCTAAGAGAGGAATCCCCCTGGGATGAAGCCATAGACCTTGGCAAGAATCATGTCAGATAGAAGATAGTGAGGCCAGACAGGACCAGGGTCAGGCTAAAGGGGGCTAGGCTGAGGAAGACCAGCTTAGCACAAACTGGGCTGACAGAGGTCAAGCGTAAAATGAGGTAACGAGACAACGTCCAGCCTTTTTATAAATGTTAACTCTTTTCTACAGGCCAGATTTAGCACCACATACAGACCGGCACCACTGCCAACATCACCTTCAAATGAAAATTCTCTCCCAGGCACAGGAAAGCCTCTGGAAGGAAAAAATGTGGAGCAGAGGATCATTTTAAGGTGAAAGGAAATCGCAGGGAAAGTTTTGGTGTGGTTTACTGAAAAGGCTGCTTGTGCTTTGCCAGTCTGTCTGGCCGTCTGGGAGAGCTATTAACGGCCAGCCTCAGGTTAGAGGTAGCAGGTATTACCTTCACCTGTTCAATTAGCAGCTGGTGTTTAATAGAGTGCTTTTGAGCATCGTCCACCACCCTGGACATTCCACACAACCAAATCTAAACTTCCAAGGAATGTTTTTTTAATTTGCAGTCACATTGATTTACTTTCACTACAAGCTATTACAGTAAGAGACAGACTTTTTCCCATAGTGAAATATCTGTTTTAAATTAATATGGATCAACATATGTGTTTTATTAGGATTTACGGCATATGAAAGCAAAGCCATGGAACTCCCATTTCTTTCCAGTGACTTTGAGTCATCTTATTATTATTTCTGCGAACCCTCACTGAAAAATAAAATCATTTTTGTCATAGGACACTTTATTCCAGGTAGGGCTGTTGCAGTGGTCTGGTAAATTGACTATGAAGTGTTTGTGTTTATATTAAATGGTAAACCTTCTCACCTTTTCTCTTGTGCATTGTGGTGTGTAGCTGTTTGCAGAAGAAAGCCAGAGTGTTATGATAAGCTCCAATCATGCTTCAACACTGTTGATTGAGGCCTGGGAGCAAAACGCTCGGGAAGGGTTACTCTGGGTTACAATTTGTCTTATCCTGTTTACTCTGCTGCCACTCTTAGTGCACTTGGACAACTGTGAAGGAGGATGATTTAGGGGTATAACATGTGTTTATTCATGCATGCATGAGAAAGGAAACCTGTTGGGACGCACTACTCCCTCGTACATTCCTTCGTACGGTGAAGCTTGGTCCAAGCTGGGCAGGGCCCCAAGGTGCCATCTCAGGGGCAAAGGAACAATATGTGGGTATGGTGCGAGTGGCCTTGGCACATGAGGGGCGTCCTAGCAGCCAGCAGGAATGGAAAACCTGGGAGGGCCACATGCTGTGGAACAAAAGCAAACAAATGGGCTCAATGGCTAAAGTAGCGTGGCGCAACGAGGACTGGGAGGAGGTACGGCAGCATAGAAATACTCTAGACACTTCAGTAGTGGTGCTGCTGGGGCAATGTGTTGCAATCGAGGCTGGCTAACCTTTCTGCACTATGAGGGGAAAACATGTTTTGACCCATTTCAGCTTGTGAATGTCTCTTTAATGTACCAAATTAAAATGGACAAACCAGTCGATGATCATTAACTGTCCTCTATCTTAATGTCCTTCCCCCCCCCCCCCCCCCCCTTTGCAGAGCTTCCTGATCACCCAGAGGCCGGCCTGGAGGACGAGCGCTGTCCTCTGATGACGGGCTGCGACAAAGCTGGAGGTCAGTGTGTGTGTGATGCCAGACACTCCTGCTTGGGCTCGTTCACATACCCAGATCAAGAATCCTGCATGAAGGCCAGTAAGTCAGGTGAGCCCTCTCCTCCCGACACATGATGAAACACAGATACACGCACACTCCGAATTTGAGTCAGAGGGAATAATGCTGTCCATTGAGAGGAGCTAATCCATAACAGATGTGGCTCTTAGGTGACTAATTCTACTTACATATCATAGTGATGACACACAAGCGCAGGTTTTTGTGATACGGTTCCCCACTCACCCTTGAGTGGTGCCATTGTCTGTGACTCATTGATGACTGGTTTGTGTGTGTGTGTGTGGATTTCAGAGGGTCGAAGGCACGAGCACCGGGAAAGACACAGAGAGAAGTATGTTGGACCCTCCAACCCGGCCTGCATGTTCTCTGGGTGTAACCTGACCGCTGAGGGATGTGTGTGCGAGTCTCAGAGCTGCCACCACCACTTTGCCTACATCAACCGCAGCCAGTGCCAGGAAGCCGCAGGTAACCTTCAAATGACCTGCAACTGAAAACTGGCAAACCACACAGCAGCAGCCGACCAGTAGCTTCACTCAGCTCACGTTATTTGGTAGATGTAACGGTTTACACCTGAGAAGAACTTATGCTAAATTCTGTTCTTTTACACTACTGAATAATAGCTTTCAGAGGTTATCCTTAGCATAAACAATGATATAAAGCATCCGCTCAAGGTATAACCGCAATTTTGTACAAATTGCCTCCGTGGAACAAAGAATTCCTTATGTCCTAGCTCATTATGTGTTAAAAGAAGCATATTGCCTCCAACCAACGAATATTGTCACTTTTAATCTTAAGCAAAGATCTTTATAAATATCAAATGTTTAAAAAATCTGGTGTTATCGTGCAAATGATTCTCCCTGAATATTTGCAAGGACTCACTGGGAAAGCTCAACAGTCAGTTATTATAATGCACTGCACTTCTCATGACAACATGGAGTGAAAAAAAGAGCAAGACAAATGTCATGAAAAGAAAACATGATGAAATGATGTAGAGAGTGAAAGAGAGAAGGTGTGAACCTGACTGACAGAGTAACAAAAACATACACCTCCTGTTGCCACAGGAGGTTTCTGAGACTGATGATGGAAATGGTTGGTGACCCTAAGGCACAGGATACAGTCCTTAGGGTTCAAATCTATCCAGTTTAAGATGAATGCTTGAAGTAAGAAAATCCCTCGAATGATGTGGGAGAAACAAGTGTGCTATAATCGAAATTCTGAGGAGTCTCTCTGATTGACACTTCTAAGTGAAAAATGTTATTGGCAGGGAGAGTTAAGCTTCCTCATTTGGATTGTGAGGTGTTTGGAAGATAGACAGGTGCAAAGTGGCAGCTCCTGCCTCCTGACTGACACATGCAAATAGGACCTGACTGCAGATGATTGAACTCAGTCAACCTCGGTGTGTGTTGGGTAAACCTCATCATGCTTAACGAGGCAGAACATAGTAAAACCTTCTGAAAAACCTTGAAACCAGAAAATACTCTGGTGTAGTGAACAGATTAAGTCGAAAGCATGTGACTAAGTGTTTTTTTATCCACGTTACTTTCTATTGCTGATATTTCAGAGAAAGAACGGCCCTTTAGTTGGAAAAAAACAGTGGCTGGCAACGTGCCACAGACACATATTTGAGATTATTTAGTCTGCAAATAACACTGTAGTTCTTCCAGAACAATTACCCTACAGCTGTGTGGATGTTAATCGGTAAATCCCACAGGAAGCGTATTCGTCAAACATCATATTGTTTAGACGTATCATCATTGAAGTCTGGTGTTACAGTGAAATATATATCTTCTGTTTTGTAATTCCCCCATCTCAAAGTCAACGGATGACAGTTTAAACTCGCACCAGCGAAAACTGTAAACAACATTTTTTTTAGCAGCTTATGAGTTCTCACTGCGACACACCCACCCCTCTGATGGCCCCTCATTAAGTAAAAAAACAGGATGTGTGCGTCTGCCACTATACAAGAGGAAAGATGCATACATGTGTTTGTATATCATCACGTGAGTGTGATGAGCCTATATCTGGGAGCACTCGTGTCTGTGTGAGATAAATATCTTGTTTGTGTAGATGTTACTGGCACAGATTTCCCCTTCACCTGTCACCAGCCAGACCCGCCTCTGTTACCACACCGGGACTCTGTGGTTAGACTTTTATTCGCTCTGCCCTACGTCCATCATCCCCTCATTGTCTTTAGACACAAACAGTCATTAAGACGTGTTAGCATGCCCTGCGAGCATGTTACACTGAAGGTAAACCTTCTTCTAGTGCGTAGTAGCTTGACTGATGACACTTCACACAGCTAGAAATCGTGTTCCAACATCAGTCGGACAATCTTGCTTAAGCTCACACATGGTATTGGTTTGGCCTCCCACTTTCTCTCTGACTCACTCAGTGGTCTTATTGGTTCATCCCTCCCCTGTGACACACACTGATCTGTTAAAACGCAACTTCATCTCCACTTTACCACTGTAGCGTTCAATCGCCTAATGTTGCCTCGTGTAGGTCCAGTTGGATTGTGTCCTTCAAGATGCTGATGTAATTTGCCTAGAAAAGTTCAATAAGAAGCCACTGATTATTAGCAGCTTGTCAGGGGAAAAGGATGTGATAAGTTAAGGAGAGGGAGGGGGGACGCAGGAAGATAGGAAATCACAACTGAGGCCAACCATTTAGTCGGGGTATTATAAGTACAGGCCCCAGGGTCTTGGTAGGGTGGTGTTTGGTTATTTTACACTCTGGGACAGTTTACATATTTCATTCATGATAAGGCCCCCAACTGTTATTTTAGAGGAATTCCCCTGCTGTTGCTCACTGACAGAAAACAAGCAACAGCAGTTGCATTTTGAAAGTGTTTAGGTGATTCATGCGATTGGCATCACTATAAGGAATACTTCATCCACAAAATGACCATTTGTATATCAATTACTCAGCCTGTATAACTTGAATACTTATAGAAAACATTGGTTTCCTCGCATGCCACAATGGTGAATGAACATTTAAAAAATATATAAAATTAGATGAGGTTGAAGTATATGGTGCTTACAAAACTATATTGAAACTCTTAAGGATAAACAAGCTCAATACTTTCTGCAAATTAGTGAGATTTAGATTTATATAGTTTTGGTGTTGTTAAATGCGGCCCCCATTTATTTAAATTCATCAAGAATCTTCTCCGGATTTGTTTCTGTGTCCACTGTGGAGGCATCAAGAAAAAATGTGTATTCATGGTAACATAGGGGGAGTAGTTGATACACAAATGGTGATTTTGTGGGTGAAGTATCCTTTATTTCTAATATTTGCTAATAGAATAATGAATGATGTCAGTTGAAAACTCAAGCCATGCTACAGCAGTTGGGTTGTCTACTTACTTGCTGTTGCGGAAGTTCACAGGCGGTTCACCAGACGGGGAAATGGTGCCCACTATGATGCCATGGCACCAACTGACCTTACGCCCACAAATCTACATTTCCTTTGCCACCTCTGTCCTGCCCCTCTCTGCCCTTGTGAAAGGACCGTTAGTTCTGCTTGGCTGCAGCCTCTTTGTGGCAGCGCTATTACTGGCTGAGCCAGACCGCTACCGGCTGGCAGGGGCGCGAGACGTCTCAGCGGAGTGTGTTTGTGTGAGCCGTCTGCGAAAGCTATGGCTACCGCTCTACGCTGCTCGTTTCCCAGTGTGTGCGAGGAAACATAACTCATGTGTGGGGATTGAGACAAAGAACTTCCATTTAAGGCATGATGGAATAGTCGTCAACCCACTGACTACTCATGGTTGGCCTCTAAACCAAACCATCCAGAATTAAGTCAGTGGGAGAAGCCAAGACACACACGTGAAGTCTGAATGTCTCGCTCAAACCCTCACTTCATTCACAAAATCTAGACCTAAAACCCCAGATCCAACCATGACCATCAACAAATCAAAGACAGCCCAACTGCAGTGGAAGCCAACTCCTTTAGTTCCCAAGCACATTTCATCCATTATCAGCCATTCCTTTCCCTGAAAGGCATAACATCCATATGGTCCAATCCATACATAGCTCAACTCGTCTCAGGTCTCCTATACAGTCATTTCATCTTGAGGTATAGTGTCCTCTAAGTGACAGTACATGTGACTGTTCACTTATGTTTAGCAGTGCATTATGTCGAGTACCCTGGAGCAGAGTATACTCAGCCTTTTCAGATGCATTTTGTGCCTGATATAACGATTGACCATGCGTGGTGTTGATCTCTAAAGGACAGGCCCGTTAGATAGAAGTCCCTAGCGCTCTCTGTCAGTGGCCTAATCTTATTGGCCATCTGACGGCAAAGGAAGGGTGTGTTTCAATGGAATGTGCACTTGCTGTGCTAACACACAAACACTTGAAAAATCTATGTGCAAATGTGCACCTACGTGTGGACATACTCATTACATCACCCAAACACGGTCATTCACAGCTGTGAGCGGCGTTACCCGGGACACTGAGATCACGTTTTTCATCTGCAAATATTTAGCCAAAGAGTGAGAGAGTGAGGCATGCAAGCCTGCCGGCTGCTGCGTGCCTACGCCCGTCTACCTCAAGCTTCTGACCATGGTGTGAAGTTCCCACCAAGTGACCCAGACCCTCTCCCAGACCTGCTCCGCGTCCTCACACATTGACTCACACCATCTGATACAAACCGTGCACAATGCAGACTTTCTCAGTTAAACTGCTGGTGGGCAGCGGGCCAGGCTCCCGCAGCTTTAAGTGAGAGACGGCCCTGATGTGTCCTTTTTTGCGGAACAACTTTATAAAACCTGAGGACAGACCAAAAAACCCACGGAGGGCGGCTGGACTGAGACAGCTTTGTTCTCCACTGACTTGCTTCCAAAGTCAGCCTGTGAACAGAACTCACATTGTGAGCTTTTTCCATGAGTAAACTCAGGCTGTCAACACAGCCTCCTCTGCCTAACCCAGCCGCACTGGTTTGGGGAAAGACTGTGCTCCTTGTACCAGGGCATGAGAAGAAGAAAAACCCATTTAGATATGAGGTGTTTTTCTTTCTTCAATGAACTGCTGAGATGCCAAAAATATGCATTGTTAACAAAAGAGACCATTATGTGGTAATGAAGCAATTTCCGTATCCCACCTCCTCCAGACCCGTGCCAGGTGTGTGTGTCTGTATGTGTGTGCAAGTTGTAGCAGGTTGTGAATTGAGGTCAAAGGTTTTCTATTCTTTGTTATCTTACAGTTTATATGAGCATATGTTGCCTCATCTACAGTGAATTTATCGAGCATAGTAAATCAGGCCATTTGTGTGGGCTGGAGTATGGCCACCATTGTGATGCGAAGATTGGTCCTTTGGTCGCTGACTCTCTAATTAAAGCCATTTATGCAGCGAGATAGAACAAAAACAGCACAGGATGAAATCCTTTCGCGGCTGACTTTTTCTCTCCTCTTTGTCTGCCTGTTATGCTCATGAATGGGCCAGCTAGAAAATTATATTAATTGGACCTGCAAGGGCTGGACCATTTCCACGGATGGATACAATTCTATTCATTTGAATAACAATGGTGTGTCTGCCAGCTGCTTTTCCCAGCGCACTCTCACCCCAGTCATTATCACCACTGAAGGAGTAATCAGCCTTCTCTGGTACACATACAATGCCCAAAAGTGTTTTGTTTTTTTTCATCGCAGAACTCCGTGGAAGATACTTTCAATGGCTTAAAATAGTGTGAGGTTTTCATATGCAAAACCAGTCTTCAACTGAGCAGCGACAGACATAGTTAGACGTAAAACCTTCACCAATCGGCACTTCCAACTGAAGTTTATTTAACTCAAGCTTAGGAATGAGGCCAAAAACTGTTAAAAGGGTTGTCGCCTCCCTTAATTTGGGGGTTTTCCCTCATTTTCTATGACACTATTTAGCTACAAAGTTTATCAATGAGAGCTTTGTGGCGGTCCTCACTGTTCCCAGGTTGCTTGGGTAAACAGTACAGTACAGATACCTCACACTCCGGCTCTATTTATCTGGAGCCAGAAAAATTCAAAGTTTCCCTTATCCTCAATTTCATCCGTCAGAAATGTTGCCCACACTCAGCATAATACAGCAGTCACAGTCATACAGCCCCTTTCCTCCTTGTTTATTCTACGTCAGGCAGACATCAAAAACGTCTTAGTTGCACTGTCGGCAGAGTATTAGGAACGGTTGAGAGTATACAGTATGATTCAGAGGTCCGACTCTGGGGTTGAGGACTGAGCAGAATCATTATCAGAGGATCAGTCTGCACCCTGAACTGCTCAACAGTTCAGATTCCCCCATCTTGTGGGAAAACCTAGAGGGATCAATTTACAGGTCTTCAAATGTCAGAGATGAGGCACATCCTCTGAGAGACTCTTGTTGCGCCGGGAGCCAGCGCCAGTCTGGGAAGCCCATCAATAAAATCAGCTTCTGGAAACATGGCCAAAACCCCAAGCCCTGTCATGTAACCTCAGCCTATATATCAATCCCTCTCCTCAAAAACGATATGCATGCAATGATTGTTAAGGATTACTCATAACTAAATCATGAATAACTTTATTTAATTTTCTCTTAAGGCAGTCATTTGTTGACATATTTTCTCCTTTAAAAGTCAGCGATGATTAAACATGATGAATTGGAAATAGGGGACCCTGATGTAAACAAGACGAAAGTCTTTCTCTGGTCTGCATCCCCTTAACAATTGTATGTTTTGAGCTGTACTGTACTGTACCCAATATACAAGCTGTTAATAAACTTTTCAATCAATCAAACTAGATGCTGGATTTTCCTCTTTCTCATCCATACTTTTTGCACTGGTTAGTGCTGCCTTCACACTCTCACTCTCAGCTGTCAAAGTGTGTATTTACTGTGCTTTCAGCAGGGGATCTTGGAAATTACTCAATGATTGACAATTGTAAGACAGGACGTGATTCTGCTTTCTCCAATCCTTGTCTTCTGCTTGCTGCACTGTATACATTACAGTGACACTGAGAACCAAAATAAACACGTCCCTTTGGTTTGGGTAATCCAATCTTTCTAAGGTAGCTACTGTTCTCATACAATGGCGGTACAGAGGGGCGCTCCACTTTTCTTTTCCTGAACTCACTCCAAAATACACCCCTGAGCCCCTTGCCCAGATTTCCAGTACCCCCGCACCTCTTTCCCCTTTAACAAGGGGTATCAGAGCAATTATGTTGGCTTTGGCAAATGAAAAGACAAACACATCTTGGTATGCTAAGCGAGGGGAGATTCTAAACTGGCAAGAGGAAAAGCTCTGTTGAAGGTTGGCTGGTATTAATGGCTGGTTTTAGTGAGTGAGGGGCTGTTTGGATTGCAACTGGCTGGGTGGGATCAGAGGCCCGCAGACAGGATACGCAGAGAGAGCCTTGTCGTGTCTAGAGCGCCGCTCTCACTTCTCTGTCACGGACTGAAGTAGGGATCTGATCTGTGCACAGAGTTTGTGTTGGGTGGCTGTGTGAACTCAGCCTTTACACCGTAACACGAGTAGCACTGTGCTTAAGTGGCTCGACTGACACGACCAGGATCGTTCACACACATGTGCACACACGTGTAAGAACAGAAAAAAACCTCCTTTCCTCTAGGAGAACAGAGTGGGCACTGTCAGAGTCTGGCACAGTTAAAGGTGGTGTTACAGATTGTCTTCATATAGGAAAAAAACATCTGCAATAGCTCCGTCTGTCTCTTTTTAGCTTTACTTTATGTATCTAAACATGAATGTGCACAATCTCTGTGTGTTTCAGAGGAGCTGAGGTGTGCTGGAGTGACGTGTCCTGATCTGCAGGTGCCCTCCTGCCCTAAGGGTTCAGTTCTGACCAAGAGTTACACGCCCCCTTCTGGTTGCTGCCCCTCCGTACCGCCCACGTGCACCTGTGATCTCCACGCCTGCCCCAAGCCCCAGTGCCCGAGCGGACAGCGCGCCGTGCCGCTCACCGAGGCCAGCGGCCGGCCGGGAGACTGCTGTGATGTCTTTGAGTGCCAGAAAGGTGATTTGCACAGAACTGCACGCTGTACACTCCGCTTCGATTGGCCTCCAACTGGGGGTAGCAATGGCACAGTCGGTGTGAGATTCATCGCCTTTGAGGAAGCAATTATTTTCCTCAGAGTAAGGCTTTCCTCCCTGCTGACCAAAGGTCCACAGATGAAAAGGAAAGCTGCTGATTGGATAATTACTGTTGAGCTGTTTATCAGGCTCGGCCGATGCCTCCCAGGGTTGAGACTATGGTTCAAAGACATATTTGCAGGGGGTGTATCCACCAGTATTTATATTGCCTGTAGAGATATGAAAAATAATGGGTCTTTTAAAGCAGATGGCTAATCGGAAATATACTCTTTTAGCCTTACCTAGAGGGAAACATAGGCCTACAGAAAATGCTCAATTCCGATGGTCATCCCATATCAATATCTTACTATGCTTACTGTATGTTCGAAACCCCCAAGATAATTCCTTGCATATAAAAAGATACTTGGTAATAAACCAGATTCTGATTCGGAGAAACCTCAGCTCTCTGACCCAGAGGCAGCCAGGAAGGCAGGGAGGGGACCTGTGGTATTGGTCTGTTTACTCTACGCTCCCAACAAATATTCGCTGTTTTACCAACAGAACAAATTCCCATTCTGGCCCCTCCACATGCATAAATGAGTGCTGTGTCCCGGAATTAATGGACTTAACGAGCTCAGTGACCAGAAAAGTGCTTAGGCTACGAATTTTCTCAACAGAAGTGCAGTGTCAAAGGGTTCCTGTCTGGTCACACGTCCAAAGGGAAAAGGTTCAACAGTTCATTGATGGGAATGCTTTTTATGTGCTCCAGTCTGCCAGTAGGGAGGGTAATCAAGTCCGGCAGGCCGGCGGGGGCTGAATGGCAGCCGTGGGGGCCATGGGATCAGTGTTTTGATAACAAGTGTCTGCTGCTCTTTGGGCCTGGGGCTTGATGCCTTTTGTGCTGCCCATACCGTCCATTAGGCCTGCATGACTGCGTGCCGTTCCAGAAAGATCCACCGACAGAGACAGGGAAATGGACAAGGACAAGGACACACACTGGGCCCCCTAGACACCGTCCAGGTCCTTCATTTGCCCCCCAAAGCACTGGCTGCAAATACTGTGTCTTATACATTATAAAGGCTACTATAATTTGCTTTCAAATACCATACTTAACCTCTAATGTAACAGACTATAACCCGGCCCCCCATTGTCTCTGCGTGTCAGGCTTCGACTGATTAACTTGTTTCCATTGCCCTCTTGGCTGAGGGGCTCATATTTAGTCAGGGTCAGTATGTGCTGTGACAATAAAGCCCACCTGTGTGTTTTGGCCTCTGTTGATGATAGACTCTTTCCACTGGTGGCTGGGCAGTGGCTGTATCTGGGTGGAAGACCAGACCTGGCAGCGCAGTGCTGACCTGATGTCATCTGATGTTACAGAGGGTCCTGTTTGGTCCTGTTTAGCTGTGGTCTAACATTAATCAACACTCTATCTGAAAAATAAATGGCATATGTCCCCTGCAGTGAGCCCTGCATCTGGTGTTGAGCAACGAGGCACCACACTCACAGTGCTCACTACTCAGCTTGTGTTTGTGTTAAATACAACTAGAGAGACAGTGAAGAATCATTGTTTTGGTCTCACAATCTAACTCGTATTTTTATAATTCGATTTTATCGTATGACCCGATCAAAACTGCAAAGTTATTTGTAATAAATCACATTAGTATTCATCTCTGGGAATATCATTTTTCCCACGGTGGTTTTGCTTCATTCTCCTCTAAACCACAAGAAGCCCCAGTGGTGACAGTCTATTGTAAATTATTTAGACTTGCTAAGGGTCATTGTTTTATGACCCATCCATCTCCACATCCAATCCTTACCTCAATTTAGAGAAGACTAAACATCACATAGCATGACTGGAATTTAGACTCTGTGCCGCAAGTTGTTTTAGGGATTACCATTAACAAACACTGCGGAAATCACATGTGAGCGTCCCCTCATGTGACTTCCTATTGCTTCTGTGAGCGTTCAAAAACGGTGCCGTGCCTTTTGATTTCGGCCAGCTAAAGTGCTTATTGTATTTTCTATGCTTGGTTTTGCTGCACGCAACGCAGAGAGAGAAGGAGAAGGAGGAAAAGAGTGGAGGAGAATGGAAATTTAAAGATGAACAAATCTCTGCTCTACTTTCAACTCACTCAGCCCACCTGCTTTGTATTAGGGTGCAGTGCTGCTTGTCTGGAGGCATGGGGTCATCGGTGCAGACGCTTTAAGTCTGCACTCAAAGGTATGGCGTACAGATGCCGCTGTAACCTCCGCCTCCCATTTATAGAAACTGCTGGCCCCACATCTGCTTGCATCTGTGCAATGCATTTCCTCGCCTAACTAACGTAGCTACTCCTCAATGAGTCTGGAGTCTTACATAACCATATTGCCTCACTCCCCTAATGTTGGACTGGGTTTGATGAAAGGTTGCTGTGTGGTTTGTTCAGACCTAAGAACTTCGAGCCACCCAAACCACTGTGGTACATTTGAATGTGTAATCTGGTTTTAGCATTGAGATGTCATGCTGTAATCGTCCTGCTCCCTTTGGCTACTAAACAACCACCATTTGTTTTTGAATGAATGATCGTATTAGTTTCAATTTGTGGAAAATTATGACTCAAGATTTGTTCAAAGTAGTAATGCAAGCACATTTACTGTGAACGTATTCTGGTCTTTACTAGGCCGGACCTTAGCTAAGCTCATTGTATTTCATAGTAAAGGGAACGCAGCCAAGGGCTTAGATGCTTTTGGGGAATGCAGGCCAGAGCATTGATTTACTCCACCTGCCACCAGTACCCTGAGCCCAGATTCTGCCAGAGTCTCAGACCCACTGCAGTTTTCTTTTACTCTCCTCTGCAAGCGTTTGACGCCTTTTCAGGACTTCGTAGGTCCTTGTGAAATTCCTACTCATGGACTTGGCTCCATTGTCTGATGAATGCCATTCCACCCCACAGGCTTACCCTCAGTGTCTGCCTCAGCGCCATTTGGTTCAGATAAACATTTCCGTCAATAGCAGAAAATGAATGTGTTTATGGAGCTGGAATTGATTGTATACAGTTGGGCTAGTGTCTCATAGATCAATTTTGACAGTTTGTATGTGAAAACGGAATTATTTTCTCATAAAGTCACGAGAAGAAAGTCCTTGTCTTAATCTTCACCAAATGTGATGGACACCTGACGAAGTGTGTTTAGCGTTATCCTCCCCACATGGTGTTCAGTCTAAGCAGCTGTCTGATGCCTCTTTTCCCTGTCCTTCTCCTCAGTTTCCCCGAAGTGTGTCCACAACGGGAAGGATTTCTCCGAGGGAGAGGTGTACCGCATGGACCCCTGCTGGCTGTGTCAGTGCCGGGGAGGAATCTCCTTCTGCTCCAAGGCAGAGTGCGCTGAGCTGGACTGTGAACACTTCTACATTCCTGAGGGCGAGTGTTGCCCTGTCTGCATAGGTACATGCGTTTACCTTGGTATTTTGTTAAGTAACATCAATTCATTGTTAGATTTGCCAAAGGTTTCACTAAGTTTCTGTTTTATAAATGCGTTAGAGGTGATGTGGCATTGATGAGAAGGCCTCTGGCTGACTGGAAAGTAGATGCAGGAGAGGAAGAGGTGATATCAAAGTCCAACATGCCCGACACTAACCTCTAGTGACCCATAACTTAGCGGCTTCCTCATATAACCAGTTTCCACAGTTGTTAACATACCTGGCAAACAAGATGCTCACTAGAAACCCAGCCAGGGGTTCATTTCTACCTGGGAGACTTAAGAACATAAAAACCTTCTTTTAGAGCGTACCGCTCGGCTTTGTAATATCTGGATCAGGCTTAATGGGGGGGACCCAATTGCAAAACACATAAAGAGCTCTGATATGTGCACTTGTTAAAAAAAAAACAGGGTTGCAGCGCATATGGCAACCACATTACAGTCTGCTAAGAGCCAACGGATAGAGATAGTAGCCAGTGTTAGCTTCTTCCCGCTTGGCTGCAGTTGATCGGGCGCATGAGAGCGATGGATGAAGACAAAGATCAAGACCACGGTGGAGATCATGTTAGGTCAGTGTTGGAGCTACACCTGGAATATGTAGGCCTTTAGATGGTATGGAATGCTTTCATCTTTTACTTATGGAAAGCTGCTCTTACTTACTGCATGGCTCACTGCGAGAAGTTGCCTGTAATGCTGTTAATCTGGATTAGGAGTTGTGTTTACCTGGTGGGATTGTATTTAAATATATACTAATCAATGTTTCGTACGGTAGGTCAGATCAGTATTTGTAAAGTTTTTTGTATTTGTTGTAATGATAAACCTAGAGAGAGTTATCACAGGACGCTTTGGTGTCTTTCAGTTTAGTGTTTTGGTTATGGATCATTCTTACCACTCGTCAGTAACAGCAGGTAACTGTTTCCAGCATTTAAGATAACAGACATCGAACAAAGTTTGTTCCTAGCTGGTAAACATAGTGCTGTTTTAAGAGATTGTTGGTGCAGACCCCAAAAAAAGCTAAAAGATAAGTGAATATTGCATTCTAATATTCGGTCATGGGGCAAATAATCAATGAATTGAGGTCAAACGAGATCCTACGCAGGTTAATCACAGCCACATGGACAGAACCTCAGCAGCAACATCTCAACTGGGATCTGGTTGGGCATAATTAGCAGCCCCCTCTGAAACTAATTCAGTAAGGCACCATAAAAATATAACCACACTTTTGTTTAACACAGAGAAAATGCTGAGACCTATTTCTAACCTGCCTGTGTATCAAATAAACAGTGTAAACAATACTGTTTATAGTGAATGAACAAAATGCTCCCCGAGGCGGGCTCAGGCACCATGCATCACCCGAAGCTGTGCACAATAGCTTCCCAAATTGGCTTTTAAACTCCCCACAACTATATGGTTCCCACTTAGGACTAATGGCTACAGATTGGAAAATGTGGCTTTCAACACAAAGTGCTCTCTTCGCTTCAGACTGAAATGTATCAAACGCTGACCTAGCCTTTGACCTGAGGGGTCACGGCTTGAAACGTGGATGAGTTCAAGCTCTTAGCCAAGAGGTGAGTGGACACTGTGGGGACTAGCAGCTATGGACGTCATCACCCTTGCTGTGTTTCCAATGATCAAATCTCTCCCAGGACGACACGGCGATACCCTATAACTTGTGTGTCTCATTTGAACTTAAATCCATATGTATGTTGTCGCAAAGCCAGGGGCCTCTCCCCACTTATAAATGTAGATATGTCATCTAAATTCAACGCTCTGGGTAACAAGCCAGTTTCCATATCTTGTTAGGTCCCTCATGGAGTATCCTGCTTCCTTCAGCTCTGCTCTCGCTTTGCTAATTCAATTACAGTAGAGGATGTAAGTTATATTGGACTGTAGTTTAGGGTTTAAATTAAATTCATGGTAGCCAAACCAAACTATACACATGACTCTGTGGAGAATCACATCAAAGATTCTCCACTTCTCTCACTTTGTTTTACAACCCACAATGTGTCCGTGTCTCCTCTCAGATGTGGAATTATTCCCGATGGACAGCACTAAGGCCAGTTGCTGGGTGAATAACAAGCTGCGGGCCCACGAGGAGCAGTGGAAGGAGGACGACTGCACCTTCTGCCAGTGTGTGGACGGAGAGCCGCACTGCACAGCCATGGCCTGCAAGCAGAGCTGCCAGTATCCGGTCAAGATCCCTGGAGAGTGCTGTCCCTTCTGTGAAGGTATAGAGATCAGTGCTGCTCTTCTGTATTTATCAAACACATTACTCATATCTGTATGAGGTAAGCTTGAGCCCCCATACTGCACGTCGGGGGCTCCTGTGGCCCCGCAGCTTTGCTGTAGAGGCCGTGTCGGCATGGGCTCATTAAAGGGGAGGCCACGGAGCATTCTTCAAGCTGCAGGGTTCTTTGTGTTCCTTTATTACCCTTGCCCGCTGAAATGAGACCCACCTGTGTGTGCGTGCTTTTAATGCAGAAGGCTGCATAATTGAAGTGGATCTTTTTTTCGTGAGCGTAATTAGTTACAGCTCGTTGGGTTGCTCCCCCCACCGAACGTGGCAAGAGGGGTTTGACGGGAATAGCCATGGTGCCATGTGTGTGTGCTCCAAACTACTGTATCTTCATCCTTTTTGTGGATTCACAATAAAGCTGGCCCTGATTCAGTCTGTCTAACTTCAGTCCAGGGGACACTTTATTGTCTCCACTGGTAGTCCCAGAACTAAAACATGCTCTTTAGACAAATCCAACTTATTAATGGGAGACAGCTCCACACAATAAGACAAAGAGGTATAATCCCCCTTACTGTGCGACCCACCCTGGTGTAATTGCTCTACATTTATCTGTAATCACTGTTTTCTTCAAAATAAGAGCAGTGTAAATAGGTAGCTATTACAGTTGGCACAAACAGCATCGATGAGGTAGAACACCTGAGGGGATCCTAGCAAACACACACACATATGAAAAAAAAAATAGAAAGTCATAAAATAAATCCCATTTTGTTATTTGTTGTTGTATTCTGTTGCTCTCATGCAAAGCTCTTACCCTCCATCGTCTCTTATGTTCCCCAGAGCCTTCTTACGAAACAGTTAGCCCCTTGCTATGCCCTCCCCTGGAAAACTGCTCCCTGTCAGTGAGCGACTGCCCCTACGGCTTCCAACAAGACACAAATGGATGTCTGCTCTGCCAGTGTCTCAACAGTAAGTTCACTTTCCTGGCTTTATGTTCAACCTAAAGGGTTACAGTTTCACAGACTGACTTGCAGAAGCATGAATGTGATACATTTCTTCTGACATGCTGCTTCTTGCATTAAAATGCTGGACAAACAGTGTTGTATTTACCTGTTTGCTCATGCTGATGTCAAAACAATCTATTACTGTCAAGCAGGCTGCCAAAGACATGTTGATAATTGTGACGGCTTATTTGCGTACATGGCTGCAGTCCTTGCAAAGTCACAAGAATGTTCCTGTGATCAGCCCCATAGAAACTCATGTCTTTGCCTTGTGATGGATTGTTGTGCCCATGATCACATGACCTCTCCCTCAACTCCTTCAGATGACTCCTGCCCTGACCTGGGAAAATACTGTTCCCTGCAATGCCCAATGGGGTACAAGAGGGACGATTTTGACTGTGAGGTGTGTGAGTGCTCCATTCCCGTGCCCAAGTGCAGACCTTTGACCTGCACCAAGACCTGCCCCTATGGATATGTGTAAGTACACCGAGTGACCCAGTGGGTTTTCATCCCCAAAACCGAATACACTCATTTGTCAGCTGTGTTTTCAGCGTGTATAAACACATCTATGTCCTTTTCAGCATGTATAAACACATATGTCATTTTCATTCTAATGCTGACTGTTAAAACATGTAATTTCCAGTTTGGGAGCATCAAGCTGATAAAAAAAGAAGGTTATTTATCTGATTACTTACTTTATTTAAATTGAGGATTTCCCCTTCTTTTACAAAGCTGAAATCATGATATATGACGATGAAGCTTGATTTGAAAATCTCTTAGGATGCAACATTTTTAATTCCATTAAAACTCCATCTCTGCCCAACTTCACACTTTTCTAACACATGCTGATAAAGATCAATCTAAATGGATAGGAATGTTTAGACATTCTGTTGAGTAAGTAAGAGCTGATCAGTGTCAGGAAAAATGTTCCCTTAGTCACCTCCTGTAATTAAATTAGTATGGTTGAATAACAAATTAAATTCTTGTATTATCAAGTGATGCCCAGAAGCAAAAGGCAGCAAAGCAGGCCAATATAAAAAGTAGTTTGGCATCCAAGATCAAAGTGCCTACCTTGGTGGTCATTCCCAGGTCTGTAAATCTGTGTTTGTGTGTGAGTAATTCACTGTGAGGTCCTCGCCAGCCTCTCAGCCCCACGCAACTTCTCTCGTTCTAATCCCATTTAACCCGATCGAACATCTGGAAGTGCTCTCTCTACCGGGCCGGTCATTCCCCAGGCACCACTCAAAATTCATAAATCATCTTTCTGTCTCAACGCATCAGGACAAAAGCGGCCTTCATTAAACGTATACAGTTAGGATTCTTTCGGGTATCTCAACCATGCTCTGTGGAGCCACGGCGCAAGATGAGCCCGATATGTCTGCTCAGGACACCAGAGGAGGGGAGAGGGGGACTCTGTGGGGGAAAGAAGAGCAGGAAGTCCTGGCTTTATCCTTCATAAGCAGCTTGCCTCAGAAGTCTGAAATCCTCTGAGAGCTTGCCAGCCTTACAATCAAGGTAGGGCTGCTCGATTATGGCAAAAATCATAATCTCGATTATTTGGGTCAATAATTGTAATTGCGATTATTAAATGAGATTATTCATTGACTTTGAAAACATCCATTTATTGGAGAAAATGTGAACAGTATGTTTTTAACAGTTGATTACCCTGAACTTTAAGTATAATTCAACTGAAAAACCAATAATAAAAAAAAGTATAAAATGAAAAAAGTAGGGCCGAGACTTTAACGCGTTAATTAAGATTAATTAATTACACAAAAATTAACGCGTTAAAAAAATTAACGCATTTTAATCGCACTTATTTTTGCACCGCGGAACGTTTCTCACTGGATGAGTTTCAGGCGTACCGATTATACTGGAGCACCAACTAACGTTCATGACTTCAGACAACAACAAACCACAGTGAACAACAGTGGGAAATGTTCTTTTAAAAAACGGACGGATGGAAGCGTCGATAAGAGCACGGTTGTGTGCAAATTATGCAAAAAGGAATTCGCATATCACCGCAGCACATCAAGCCTCAAGTATCACCTCAATGTAAAACATATGGTAGCTAGCGTGGACGTTAGCCTCTTTTATCGCGTTCACACCAAAAAGAGCTGGTACTAAAATTAGTTCATGAGAACCTTTTTACCCCCACGAGAGTCCCTGCTAGAGAGCAGAGAGCTGCTAGAGAGCAAGGACTTTCGTACGGCTCTCTTGTGAGAAAAGAGCTATATGTCTGATTGGCTGGGCGGATTGCAAACCACGCCCCGTAAAACTCCCAAAAAGTTTTGTGAAGCCGCCATTTTATTATCCTCGCATTAGCATTAGCATTAGCCCAGCGCAGAAACGCAGAGAGACTAATTTATGGCAACACAAAATAAAACATGGGAGCGGTGGAGATGAGGAGGTGTCGGCGTTCTGGCGATTTACAGGCCCCAACTCCGGGGACTTCCGGCCGGGGACTTTGGGCGGCAGTATACGCCGTTTGCGGCCTGCCAGTAAACCCAAAGCAGAAGAAGAAGAAGTGACGTCAGCGGCTTCATTTGCCTAATCCACCCCCAGGTTCAAAGAGTTCTCATGAACTAAATTCTCATGAACCTTTGTGGGAAAAGTACTGCGGTGTGAATGCGCCTAATGGTATACTAAAATCCATGTGAAAAAAATTGCTTCTCACTGTTCTCAGGTCAAATATTTATATGTGATTAAAAATGCGATTAATTTCGATTAATTAATTACAAAGCCTCTAATTAATTAGATTAATTTTTTTAATCGAGTCCCGGCCCTAGAAAAAAGTAATCGTTTTATTTCGATTACGTTGTTTTCGTAATCGTTGCAAGCCATAATCGCGATTTAAAATACGATTAATTGAGCAGCCCTATATCAAGGTCTGTCTCCTCACACAGGACCGCTGCATGCAGCCACCACGAAGAAACAAAAGGCATAAAGGATCTCTGTGTTTATGCTTGTTTTATTGATGACATCCCAGGAGTATGTACTGTACATATCCCAAACTGAAAGCCTCCAAAGCAGGCTGAATGTAAACTTGAGTGTAACAATGAGCTAAACACTGTTTACGCTCCAGGTGAAGGGCATTCTCAAGGCACGTTTTACGAATAAAGTTTTCAATCCTTCATTGCTCAAAATCATCGCTGTGACCTCACAGGCCATGAAATGAATTATTCTGGTCATCACAGTTGCTGCACACTGGAAATTGTGCCGAGCCAGCAGTCCCAGGGCCCCGGGGCCCCCGGTGCCTCCCCAAGCCCCTCGATCCCCCTGGAGCCCAGAGCGCTGCTTGGCATTCCACACACCATCTTTAAACAAAGCCCCGCTCTAAGGTCGCAGCACTCTGTGTCTCTGTATTTGTACAGTGAGGCACTGGCCGAGCCCTCGCAATGTTGTTTCAATGGCTGTTATTGCTGCTTCAGCATAGATAGGCTCCTGTGTTTGCAGAGCTGGAGATGCTCGTGCTCTTCATGGGACACGGCACCGTCTGTGGGTTGGAGGGGTCTTTTTTTTATGCTGCCTTGGCATATGAAGATTAATAGTCATTAACCATGCCTAATGAGGCCACTGCTGGGTATCATCACTTACCCAGACACTAGAGAGGGATGCTAGCTGCGTGAGGCTGAGAGTGTGAGATAAAGAGGGTGTCTATAGGACGAGATAAGTGTAGATACTGCTCCTTTTTTCATCTGTGTTTTTCACAATTTAGCAACCTGCAGCCCATCAATGTTTCATTAGGCAGGTCATTGGATCCAAACAGCCTACTTATAGCCTCAGCACTTCATTCAGCTCTTTCTTTGTTTGTGAGGACATGTCTCTTTTAGATAAGATAAGAGAATATGAGCCAACAGCTGGGAAGTGTGCACTTTTGCAGCAGCAAATGGGGCAGTGCATTCAGAAGGCCATAGCCCTCTATTTTTGTCTTTTTTCTGTACTTAGCAATCAACGTGCCTGCATTAGCCCTTATCTCTGCTGCTCTTATGTGTCCGCCAAAGGCTTCTGTTGCAATAAGGATGGCAGCAGGGTGAATTGAAAGCATCTGAGTTGGCTTTAGATTCCTCCTTCCAGAGTCTCTGGGTCGGTATGATGTGCAAACAACAGGGATTTCACATGTCGGCCTTTTTATTTGACCTTCTTCAAAGTCGGCTAATATAGCGAGGGCAAAGCAGGTCCAGATGTTGATTATACCAGACTTGAGCATCTGGGTTTCACTCAATCACAACACCAGACCTCTGTTCATCTAGAAAATATCCGTCGCAACGTGATCTTTAAAATAGCTCCATGGGAGGGGTATTGTTTACTTCCTGATCTGCTATTCCAGTAATTTAGTTTTTCCCATGTGGTTGCTTCATAGTGTGTATCTGTATCGCTCCGCAGGAGGAACAAGCATGGTTGTGAGATGTGTCGCTGTGTCAAGTGTCCCCCCTTCACCTGTGACAAGCACTGCAGTGAGGGATATCGCCATAACAGGAAGGGCTGCTCCATCTGCATGTGTAAAGGTAGGTGACAATACCTCTTTCCCCTTATACCTTGATATCAATAATGTGATAACAATGTGGGGATAATGACACTGATGCTTTCATCACACATTGTACAATAAAGTGTATTCTATTTTATATAACAGTCGGATAGGAAACTGTTAATTTGTTATATGCCCTTGCCATGTCATCGAAGTTTGAAAAGTGTCCACTTATAACCGTTCTCTGTTTGGTACTCACTTAACCAAGCTGAAGGAATTAAGTACATCGGCTCTTTCTCTTTGTTTGTCAGATGCGCTTTTAGGTATTTTAATTCTGCACCCAATTATTTAAAGTGAATCAATTCTAGGTAGTACATTATATTAGTAACCTTTCCTAGTACACTGCGTGATATCCAGGAAAGTTGTTTTTGGTTTTACCCAGGAGGATATTAATAATGATTAACGATTTCTAACTACACCTGAGCTCATCCTGGATATTCATGTTCCTCAGTGGATGAACCTTTTTAGTCTCAGCCCAAAACACATAAATGAAAGGTACATAACAAATCAAACAAACAGTCAATGTATCAATGGAGGATTGATAATCCCTGATACATTAATCATAGGTACTTCTTAAGAGTTACATATCAAGAGTTGGCTCCTGATCCACAGCTACAGTTCCACCACAAGGTCTTAACTGTAAGCGGTGTAAAGGGTAGCAGATGGAAGGAGATAGGGGAGCTCTGTAAGCAGAGTTGAATTTCTGCCACTAAGCTGCAGCTTTGATTTCCTGTGACCTTCTGCTGCTCTGCTGAGGAGACTTTGTGTTTGCTTGTTTTGGTTCTTATTGGTGTTTATTTTTATCCAGGGGGCTGTGTGTGCAACTCTAATTAGATTCCCCCAACCCTTAAGTTAAAAGCAGAGGTGATATTTATGTGATGTGTTTATTTTTCCAGTTTAGCTGTATTATAAATATTTTAGCTTCAAATATACTTGTGGCCTACCTGTATGGGGAGGTGATCAGTGCATTGCTCCACAAACACAGACCTATAAACTGCTGTTTACCTGCTGTTTGAAACTCTTGAATCAGGTTCTCTGTGGACTGTTGAAATATTCAGGGATGGGAAACACAAATATATACTTCCAAAAAAAGTTTGTGTGTTTTAAAGATTTAAATGGAAGAGGATAAAGAAATAAAACATCTGCTTGAACTCTGCATTGTACGGTTCAGTGTGTTTGTTCCTGATCTCAGTGGAATCATACATACTTTAAGAGTTTAACACATGCTGGGGCCCAGGTACTGGCAACCTAGGCCCGTTTATAAGGGCTAACAATGTGTCCCTCTGCTACAACTTTTTTTTGTCAGTTACAAATTGTTGGATATTTATAAAGCTCTGTAAGCTGGTTATATGGACATAAATACACAATAAAGAAAGATGAAATATCCTTGATTTGTGAAGGTTCCAGTTTAAGGAACCAAACCCACTTAGCTCTCACTGAATGAATGAAATTGGACCCAAAACAATAATACTGGCTCATTTTACTGTGAATCATAAATGTACTTAATGAAATGTCCACAGCAGATTTACAGGATCCCTGAGCCATAGCAGGCTATGTAGCTTTCTGTAATTTTGCAAAGCTTTCCCACAAGTCAACAAGTTGTTGTGCTTTTCATGTTTGTGTCCCTAGAAAGTGGCCACTTCCCAAGCACCACTGCCCTGGCCCCGATGCCCAGTTATTGCCTCACCTCCAATGGGAACAGGTACGAGGAGGGGGACGGCTGGCACGACGGCTGTCGGGACTGCTACTGCCACTCAGGGAGGGAGATGTGTGTGCTCATATCCTGCAGCGTGCCCAGCTGCTCTAGTCCCGTGGTGAGGCCGGACCAGTGCTGTCCTACATGTGAAGGTATGTGCCATTCCTATGTTACTTTATTCATTATCAAGTTTTAAGAGATGACATTGGTTTTAAAGGTTTATTCCTGGATATTATAACTGTAAATCTTATTTTTAGTTTTGGCCATTATTCCTGTTGGTAATTAGGTTATAAGGATTTTTGATTCTATTCTTTTTTTCCGACATTTCCTATGACTCAATGACTAGGAAATGAATGCTCATGAGATTTATTCTCATTATTTGTTATGCCTGACTTTTTTCAATGAAATGTTTCATTGAATACTATACTATGACTTTTGTGATATTTTTATGAATGATGTCATACTATAATGTATATTTTTCTGAAACTGTATTACATTGTATCTATTACTTTTTGTACATTTTTATGGCATACTACTTTGATTCATATTTTTAGAACGTACAATACTATGACTTTTTGTTTGCATGCCTATACAAATACATTAATTTGGAATAAATTCAGATTTTTTGAAGATTTGTGGAACATTTTAACAAGTCTGTAACAAGTTTTTGTGTTTAAACCAGTAATTGAATGGTCAAAAATACCAAAATGACACCCAAGTTTTTAATCAGCTGAAGGATCTCTTATGATCTTTTCCTCATTTGGAAACTACTCTCTATCAAAGACAGTGGTTTGTTCTTTTTGATTTTTGTAAAGCCATCACCAATAAAAAAGAATCAAGGTTCCACATGTAGCAACTTATAATATGTCACATTTGTTAACATTTCTAGGACTCACTTAGACAACCAATTACTTATAAATATAAGTGTAATTCAACACACACACACACACACACACACACACACACACACACACACACACACACAAACCGTGTACAGTCCCAGTGTACAGTTCATTTAACAGCTTTAGATCTTTGAGGCTTTAGACTTGTTGGCCACTTAAACATACAGTCTCTGTCTGCCTCTCTGAATGGAAAGCACACTAATCCACGCCTACACGTTTTTTTTATCCACAACCCTCCAACTCATGCGGGATATTTATGGAGGAGTGACTCAGTTGGCTGTTCAAATATTTAGGAGTGAAAGAATGTCTACAACTTTCAGAAGCTACACACACTTTGCAGTCAGGGGACAACAGGCTAACTCTTCACAGATGTCTGCTACTCTGCTGGACAGAAAGATGTTTTCAACTAAACTAGTGTCAAAACACAGCTTGCACACCACCCTAAATTGCCCACGGCTTCTTTTTTAATGGAAAGCGGCCTCCCATGCATCTTTATTCCAGTAACCTATGACTCCGTTTTCTCTTTCAAGATGGTTGCTTCACTTCATCCTGCAGCAGTTATTGTAATGGCCTAAATGAATGTTTGAATTTGATAGCGCACACGTGACCGCTTCCTTTTGTTTCTTCCCTTTTTGTAGATGAGTCAGGCAGCGGTCAACCAGAAGGGATGGACATGGTGGTGTGCAGAGCACCTGGGGGGGAGTTTTATGTGGAGGGGGAGACGTGGAACCTGGACGAGTGCACACGATGCACCTGCAGGCAGGGACGTGTGCTGTGCGACACTGAAGTGTGTCCCCCGGCTCTCTGCCAGGCACCGGTCAGGAACAAGGACACCTGTTGCCACATATGCGAAGGTAACATTAAAAAAAAAGCTACGGGGGTCATTTCAGATAACACTCAGCAGGAGTCACGAGTTGGGGTAGTGGGACGGGAAGTTTAAAATCTGTTTTGGATGTGCTATCGGCATGTGGTTTTTGAAGGTCTTGCATGTTGCACTTTGTTGGGGCAGTTTTATGTCAAGCACACAGTCTCATAAAGAAACTAGCCAGGACTGGTTGGGTTTACATAGTGATCCTGCAGGCAGGCAGCAGCACATGTGGACTGTGGCCCACACCGGAGGTTCATCCAACTCCCCTTATAGCTGGAGGGGCAAGAATGTAACTATTCTGAGTAGATCTGTGGTATTTGTCTTGTTATGGGAATTCACTTTGACAAAAATGTCAAGGCGAAAGCGCAAAAAACCACACGCATATTTTATTTACAACAGTACCCAAACACTGAAGCCTCTTCTCATAGACTTAGAATCAACATATCCCAAGCACTCCCAAGCATGAGGCCCACAAATCAGCAATGCATGACTGCGCCTGAGAGCTGCTCCTTGAGAATGCCGGCCCGCCTTATCGCTGCATCTCCCCTTCACAAAAGCAGATTGTCAGAGGCCAGCCTTTGATATATGTATGGGCTTGGTCACCAGGAATGTGGGAATAATACACTTCTCACTGACAGGCCCTATGATGTATGTGTACAATAGAGTAGTGCAGTGTGCACATGCCAACTAAAGTCTTTGGTCGTGCGAAGGCCGCGGGGGATAAGGCCTCCGACTGAACTGACATCTGACATATGGAGTCACTTGTGTTTGTGTTTAACGTACAGTAAAGCATCTTATCTCGGCCCTAAAAGCTCAATGTTGTTAGTGGATTGAGATGTTATACGTCTGGGATAAATCAGGAGCCATGTAGACCCAGGTCTCTCTAGGAGCAATTATTTATAACTCAGACAAAATTAGGTTTCTTTCTTTGAAAATGGCTATTTTCCACAAGCTAATCTGAGGCTATAACTTTGCACTGCCAGGTCATTAAGCATAACATAGGACACAGCCATATGTTTTACAAATTGTCGTTATTAACTCTATTTATGCTTTTGTGCATCCTCAGAGGAGACGCAGAGCCCCTTGCTGCCGGTGAACACCAACCAGCAGGAGTACTGTATAACCAGCGATGGAGACGTGCTGCTGGCCGGGGACTCCTGGAAGGCCAACGCCTGCACCAGCTGCACCTGCAACAACGGCACCATTCAGTGTTTCTCTCAGCACTGTCCCGCTGCCAACTGCAGGGTGCCTGTGTTACGCAAGGGCCAGTGCTGCCCACACTGTCTCGGTGAGTATTTAGGTGTGTCTCATTAAAGAGTCTTTGTTTCAGCCCACTAAAAATAAACATAATTTGGAATTCTAAAGGTAGTTTATGTAAGACTTCCACAAACTTAAAATGTTGTGCAATTCCAACCAGCCTTTTCTTTTACAATAAATGGTACCACTTTAACAAGGCACAGCCTGCTGTTAGGAAAGTTATAATTCAAAATGCTACATGTTAAAAAGAGGGTGTAACTGAGGCAATGCCTGTTTCCAGACTGAATGTGTATGTGTTTGTCCGTTAGACACAGCCACTCTGGCGCTGCATGGGCAAACACCATCATTCGTAACAACATTCCATGTGACATACACACACGGTCCACTCCAAGCAAAAACATTCCTCGGGCATCCGCACATTCACACGTGTTTCCTGTCCCCGGCTGAATCGGCCCGCGACACTCTCTCTGTGGCGGCACAGGAAGGCAAAGCTCCATGTCAGCTTTTCCTATAGAGGAAAACCTCGGCATAGGCTCCCATTGTTCAGCCTGATGTGACCGTTTCTCTGCCCTTTGTTTTTGTTATTCACCCTGTGGAAAACAGAGCTTTTTACGTAATGCCTCCACAAAGAGGTACAGTGGAAGTTAAGGGGACAATTCATATAAACACAGCTTATCAGTGAGACACCGGGGAGTTTATACACTCACGCACAGTTGGAAATGTTTGTCTAGAATGTCAGCGGCAATATTATTAATGGTTTTACTCCTTAACAGAAGCTACAACGTCAGTTCCGGTGATGTTGTCCACCAATAGCCCGAAGACAACAACCCCTACTACAGTGGAGAGTAGAGTGTGGATAACCACTGTCACTGTGCCACCCATCATTGCTTATACAGGTACCTGCTCATTGGATAACTCCACACTCCCTCCTCTGTATATTCCTTTTGATACACTGTATAGATGTAACCATATCCTAGTTATTGGTGCCATTGTTTGTACTCTCCCTGCCAATCCCTGCACATATTTCTGCTAATAAAGGGTGTTTGAGATGCCTTGATAAATGAGTGTAAATTATAGATTTCATAATTGTGCTTTGATGCTGAAATAAAACACTAGTGACAAATGGACATTGGCTAAACATGAGACACCAAGTGTTCATTTTTCATTGTTAGGTAATGAGCAGGGATTTTAGCCAAAGACATAATCTGTTCTCAATTTCAATTTTGTAATTTGTCCCACAGATGAGCCAGTTTTGGGCGAGAACTACCCCAGCCAAACAGAGATGGCTGTCATCTACCAATCAGCAGCCTGGATTCTTGCAGGTCTCCTCCTCGCCATCATCATCTTCCTCGTGGTGGCGTTACTCATCAACAAGAAAAAGAAGTGGGTGCAGATGTCCTGCTACAGTGCACCAAAGAAGGTGAGAAGTGTATCAGTCGATCACATAAATCGGCTTGTTTTGAAGGCTTAAAATGGTGCTAAATGACACAGGCTCCCTCGTTTAAATAACAGTGTTAATGTGCGGATGGGTCACAGGGAGTTTTCCTGTGATCTTCCAGCTTCTGCTACAACTAGTGCTAAAGCTGTTATGACATGTAGGATTAATGTAGTTTCCCCTCGCGCTGTACCTTAAAGTGGAACACGGTCATGTCTAACTTAAAATCTACGACTCTACCATGAAATTAGTTTGTGTCAGAAAATCGAAATTTGTCAGAGAGTATAATCTAAAGTATGAGTCATTCTAGGTTTAAAGTGGCCCCGATATGCTTATTTTCAGGTTTCAAAATGTGTATTTTGTGACTCTACTGTGTTTACATACTTTAATGTTCAAAAAGGTCTTTGTGTTTCTAATACTGCATGAGCCCAGTCTGCTCTGATTGGTTAGCTGGCCAGCTCTGTTGTGATTGATCATTCGCTTATAAATGTCCTGCACCTTAGCCAGTCACGTACAATGTGTTGAAGCGCTAGCCAATAGAAGAGTCGAGTGTAATGTAGTGATGTCACTATGTCGCAGAGTTAAACAAAGGTGGGGGGGAAAGAAACTCCCTCTGGAGGTAATTTTAACCTCTGCAGACCTTTAATAAAATACACACGACAGGGGTAAACCCCCAAAAACAAAAAGGGCCCCTTTTAAACTATACAGAGATTAAATTCATCCATGATGGAATCAATAAATGAAAATTCTATAAACTTAAACTAGTACATTTTCAAGAAATAACTCAGAAATTCAAAAGTTAAATTCTGTGTAAAAATGTAGTATTTTGGCAGTAGAACAGCTTTGAAAGGTTGGGCAACTCTTACAATGGCCCTTAACTACGTCATACAGGAGCCATTTCATGCAAGTCGGCAAAAATGAGTACATTTTCTTCTAGCTGTTAAGACCTGAATGATATCTTCAAACTAACAAGGGATTATGTTCTTTCACCTTTTTCTGCTAAGACGGTGATCCTCAAGAAGCACGTCAACAAGAACTCAGTGGTCTACATGGAGCCCTCCAAGGAGAACAAGTTTCAGAATGTGAAGAACGACTGTGGCATCATCCACTTCTCTCCAGAAATGAGCTCCACCTGTGGGGACAAGATGACCATCCCCAGGGCCAAGCTGAGCAACGACTGGCGCTAAAAGACAAAGAAACACCTCTGAAACTCTGCAGATCAGAGCTGTCCGACACCTCCCACTCTCTCTTACTGCTGTTTCCATGGTGATGAGTGCAACAGTGCACACACACCTTGGGTGCCGCTGCCACCGCCTTGTCTTTCCACCCTTTTGTCTGTGAAACTGAGGACGCTCTACAAGACAAAGCAAGTGGCCTATGCTTCTTTTCAATTTGTGTCCATATTCTTCTGTGTTTGGATCGTTGTGGTGGAGTGAGATGCTGGGAGGTGGATGGACATATGATGGACATATGATGGACATATAAAGGACACAGCCACTCCGGGCTTTAAAGCAGAGAGGGAGGCAGCCAGAGGCTCCTCCCTCACAATCAGACTTTGACTGTGAACATTGTAATATTAATGCTTATTATTGCCTCCTTAGAAACTGAAACTCTGAGGCAATAAGAGAAGCATTAAAAAGCTTTAGGAGAGGGGCTTGGGCTGTAGTTAGAAGGAAGGTTTTCGAGAATGATGCCCCCCCCCAGCAGTGCTTCATGGATGTAATAATTTTCCTCAACAGGGAGGCCAAAGGAACTGATAATCCAGTTGGATCAAATTGGGTTCAGCAGCCAAATCATAAAGTCAACAGGCTTTATATAGACCCACAGATCCAAACCCCCTGCTTTACAATGTGTGGTTTCCATCTTAGTTTTTGTATATTTCTACAGTATTTGTACTAGTTTTAGTGTTGTTCTTGGCCACCTCTCGTTTTTATTATGGGTGTCTCGGCGGGGCCAGATTGAAACCTTTCGAAGATGCCAGTCTAAACATTCCTGCGATCAATGTCAGGAAGGACACGCTTCCAAAATAATAGCCTTTGTTTCTACCTTCGTATGACCCGAGTCATTCCATTCATAAAACTACAAACCACAAATCTCAGAAAGGGAATTTGTGAACTCCTTCTGCAAAACGTGTCTGCAATACGGTAGCAAGTCGCCTTCATCTTTCCACTCTGTCTCATCCAGAAGGACTCAGTCGTACTTCATCATTATTAAAATTGCAAAGTGTAATGATGTTCATCCAGGAAGAATGTCATTTTATTGAGTGAATAGCGGTGCCAGACGCTTCATCTGGACCTATGAGGAATGTCTTTGATATCATGCCTCGCTTCACAGCTGTGTGGAGCTTCTGCTCACACCGAATGTTAGTGATGATTCATTTTAAAGCCTTAATTCTATAGCCTTAATGCATATCATTTCATTTAATGACTGTGTAAACCCATATCCAGGAACTTAAAAACGGTAATATATTCACCCATTATTAAGATGAGCAGATATTGTTGTACAGCGTCAGATGATTCCCATCATCTTCAAATACAAGTGAATGATGTGATGTGGAAGAGTGTAAGCGGAGCTCTCTAGTAACGCTACCCAAGGGTACACATTACAGAGCGTGTTAAAGAGACGTAGCACTTTCTTTGGAGCCAGTGTTTCTTTTCTTTTTTTTTTTTAGAAAGCTCCCTGCAGGATTCTTGTAGGGATAACATTCCTAATCAGGGATTTGATAGGCATATTAAGCCCTCGGAGATGTTAAACCACTCAAGTGAACACGCTGTTGCAGCTACAGGCTCTGTACCAATGTGATCAGAACGGGGAGAGGATAGAAACTGAGAAGCATTACGAAAACAAACCTTGGTTTCATAGGAAAAGGTTTTGGAGTTCTCAATCCTTTGCCAATTTCTCAACACAAAGACCTTTCTGATGCCAAAATTGGTTGGAGACCAATTTATATTGAAGTGTTTTAGTAACTCTGTAGATTTGTGTCTGTTTGAATCATGACCATGTGCTTTAAAAAGAAGAGGTGACTGTAAAAGCTTACGCAATTCTTTGTTCTTCTATGTGTAAAAAAAAAAGTAGTTTAAATTAGTAGGACAGAAGAGTACCTTATTTATTTTTTCACATAGCTTTATTTATTAATACTAAACTATAGTTTGAGATTGTCTTTTTTTTGGAAAATGAACTTTTGGTAGCCAAAGCTGCTGTACATTGTAGACTATTTACCATTTCTATCTGCTATATTCTATACAACCTTATTTATTTCACTGTTGCAAAACCTGTAAATGTTTCCTAGATGAACTGTAACATTTACACTTATTTTGAAAAATAAAAGTGTGAACCAAAGTGTCCCGTGCAAATGACATTTAGAGGAACAATCCCCAGCGATGTCAGTGCAGTGATGTCATTCAAGATGGCATCTGTTAGTGGTTCTTAACCTCACTCACATTCACATCTGGTGCTCGAGTTCTGTCCCAAATGGCTTTAAATCTGATCGTTCTCTTATCTCAGTAGCATTTGCAGATGTGTTTAGTGGCGGTAGGTTGTTTCTGAGGGGGTTCCTTTGAGATTTTAATGCAAGCGAAAAAGCAAGTAGCCCTCTCATCTAACCAATGGGCTAATAAAAGCCCGGAAAAGACATGCAGGCCTGGAAACCTGTATAATCCTCCGCAGACTGTGCTGTTGTTTTGACTTGTCCGTCCAAGCTTGCTCATAAACTTCAAGGTGAGGAAGCTTCTCCGGAAGGATCAATAAAGTAAACATTAGGGGTCAGTTTCCCAGGCCTTGAATATGTCAAATACGCAACACAAAGCCTTCAAACTCCACTAAAAACTCCCCAAACATGCCCGACGTGTCTCAACTGAGCAATAACTGAGTTCATAGAAACAACAAGGTTAAGCATTAGCTTATGAGGTATTACTCAGTATGCAGGTAGTCAATAATGAGGCTGCATTTTGTTGTACTCAGATGTGTAATTAAAATAGACACAATATCAGCTCTGTGGGAAAAGGTCATTTATTCAAATTGTTGCAGATTAGAAAAAGTTAAATTGTTGCCTTCATGACACCATTTTCAGTAGAAATCCATCTTTCAACTTCTAGAATTCTATTAAGGCAATAGAGTGAAGACGATCTGAGAACATCAACATAACACTGGAAAGTTAACGATTTTGAATAACCATTCAACATGGTGTCTTTGGGGCTCGCGCTTTCTAAGAAGGAAAGCTACAAGTCCATCATGAAACAAGTTCTGTAGGTCCAAAGATGAAAAGTCTCTGGGAGTCTGAAGCACAGCAGGCCAGGGAGCTTGAGTCTTGGTTTTCAGAGAAGGATCTTGTAGTAGTCATCCTTGTAGCTGTACAAGACCACCACAGCCAGCCTGAAACAGGACAACATCCGTCAGTTATTGATTCAAAAGGATATAAAAACCACACAAATGGGACATAAAAAAATAAGGACAATGAAATTCAACCGGGAAGGTTTCCACATATTAGATTTCCACATATTAGATTTTGTCTAGATGAAGAGGTCAGTCAGTTTAAATAAACACAGGATTCAACTCTGCCATGTCTAGGGTAAAACCTTTTACGAAACAAAAGTACCAATTACTACTGTTATTTCCATTAGTTGGCGATGACATTGTTAGCTCAAGCATGGCTGTGCCTGTGAACACTTTATAAAGCTGCAGATGGGTAAAAACAGCACTGGAGATACAGATCGTACATGCCAGCAGTGGTTTTAGCTAGAACTAAATCTCAGTGAGCCCTTGGGATAAGTTTACTTTATGATCTTGCGGCTGCCAGGTGACTGCATGAGCCTTTCAGCCCACTCATCTGGCCTTGGTTGCCTGTGCCCCACATTCATTGAAAACAACAAACAACACGATGAATATATCCATTGTTGCCTCTGTGACGCGTATTTATCACCAGAGTCTTTTCCCCCCACTAAATGGCAAATCAAACACACAGCAGAGACAGGAAATGAAAACCAACTGCTCTGGAGAGGCGGACGGGAAGGCAGAAAGAGAAGCTCTTTTTTTTTTTTTGTTAGCATCGCATTCATGAAAGAGAAAATCCTCTCTATGGGCATTCACCAGCGTCACAAGGAACTCAAACACTGGGGATTTAGCCTGGCCTTTGAAAAAAAAACAACGTTCTGCTGGGAAGCTGGGGAACATTAAGCGCTACATCCACAACCGCAGCAATTGGTGAAGTTAAACCCCCCCCCCCTGTGCTGAAATCTCTCTGTCAATCAACCTGGGTGTTAAGAGACAGACCTCAGAAGACCAAACAAGGCAAATCCTTCTCCAGATTCCACCTCAGGAAACGGGCTCAGCCGAGGTTTTGATATTCTGCAAGGCAGTAGTTATCCGTATTACTGCTCCCTTTGAAGGACTGTCACACCTACACCTGGAGTGTGTGGGCTCGCTCGCAGCTGCCCGTAAAAGGAAGTGTGCACTTGTTGTGGTCTTTAATGTATTCTGTTTTTCAGGTTTCATTTTAATAACAAGTGGGTAATGGATGGAAACATATGAGCGGAGCAGTGGGGTCTTTGGCTCACTACTCACTGGGGTTTGTCTTCAAAGTATCAAGTTCAAACTGTTTCTTTACTTTGGAGGAGTAAAACATTTTGACACTTGAGAATGTTAAAATTGACAGAGTTTAAGAAGTTATTAGATTGGATTCTTATCCTTTCTCAAATATAGAAACCTAAATCTTGAACATTTCCATTTAAATAAAAATGTCTGTTAAGTCTCTTTCTATCATGGAATGAGGCAACACAATTGTGAGGAGCCTATTGCCCACAAATGAAACCCCTTGCATTGGCCGTATTAAGAACTACGTAACTGGCAACATTTCCAAGAAAAAACAAAGCAACCATTCCAGGAAACTGAGATCCCCAAAACATCTCTGCAACTTTGAGAATGTTACATTACAATAGTTTTCTTATTCCAACACATTGTCCTGCCTTATTTATTTCTTCAAGTATTTCTGGTTGTGTCAGTCCACCACTTTGGCCCTATTTGAAATATCTCAACACCAATTAGAGTGATTCCCTACCTACCACTAGCGCCAGCAGCGGGCTAACATTTAGATTTGAAGTCAAATGTCTCAACAACTTTTGTATAGATTCCCATTAAATCTGTTATACACGTCAGGAGGGCCTAGACGACAATGATAAAAACTTCGGGGAACGTTCCCTTTTCCTTCATCGCAATAATGATGTAAAAGTTTCACTTATCCGGTGAATTATCTCAGCATCTACTGCTAGTTGGATCAGCACAATCTTCTGTACATACTCATGGTCAATAAAGAATGAATATATTTGACTTTCTTTACAATGTAGGTGATATAGCAAGCTATGTCTGGGAATAAAAATAGATAGGAATTATTAAGATCTGCAACAAGTTGGTTTTTCTTTGCTAATAAGAACACAAAAAACTAACTTCTTGGTCATTTTGAAATGGTGGATCTCATCGCAGATGGACTTCAGGTAGCGCTGCTTGGGTAGACGAGACAGCAGAGTCTTCACGCTGCTGTTGAACTGCTCTTCGTTATCAAACTAGAAAGAAAGGAGAGAGCATGTGTGAATGCAAGAAATTAGCAAGCAGTGAAGGCAAGAAATGTGACAAGAAATGCAGAGGCCGAATTCAGTGCATCAAACAAAGCCTGGTAGAGGTTAGTTTACTATATCAACACTGTTCAGAGTATCCAACACAACAGCTCACAAGGTGTCAGTTCCCTTTATGTTTGTTAACAGAAAAGTAAACAGCATTTTAGAGGAATAAATGGGCTTTTTCTTCTGCAGCCTTGGAGTATATTTGTTCAAGTCAAGTGTAGCTACAGTGGGTTTATAGATTTCCTCTGCTTTGTGTGTGACTTGGGGTAATTTGCCGTATTTAAAGCAGGCCTTTCCTGCACGCCTGGCTATACCCACTGTGTATTGTCACCCGTTTTATATACTAAAAGTGTTTTCTTTGACTGTATAGGTGGCCCATTCATTTATGGAGTGGAGGCTTTTGCTTATATAGAGGGGTGGTGTAAAGTGCGTTCTTCAGACGTCTTCATGTTACTTAGCACAATATCATTTAAGACTTTTAAAAACCTCTGCTCTAAGGAACCAGGGTTTCTTTATGAGTGCCGCTTTGGTCAGGAGTTTGGAATGTGAATTTTAACACCTCTTAAGTATGCGTTTTCTTAACTGTATGTGTCTGTCCCATATGTGAGCCTTGTTAAAGGAATGAACGTCTTTGGCAGAGTTCCCTGGCTGTGGAAAAAGGCCGGGGTGTTCCCTCAGTCCACTCCTCATTGGGCCTGTTAGGAAGGAGACGGGATCCCCACTTCCTGTCTGCGATCTTGACCTCTATTGGCTGTTCTTTCCACCCTCCCTCCCTTCCACCCTTAAGGATGTAGCCTTTTATTAACTATGCCAAAGGGTCTTGATAAAGCCAAGTATGGAACATACCTCCAGAGACAGGAAGTTCACCAGCGTTTCCTTGTTCAGGTCCACCTGTGGGACGAAAACAAGCAAAACACAATAGAGCCTTATCTCGTGTTGCAACAGTTCCAGAAATGTTTTTATAATACAGCTAAAAATATCAGCCAATAGCTTGTGCAATTCTTTCAACGCAAGATAATCCACACCACTTGGGTAAATGTACCCATAATTCCACTTACACAATGCTCTGGCCAGGAAGAGTCTAATGATAGACAAGCAGGCTACTGACCACAGTGAAGATTTATAGGCCTGTGTAACTCTCTTTTTATGGGAATCAAGGTGATTATGTTTCAATAACTTGTATTTACTGCTGATGAAATCCAGACCCCAATATGGAAGACAAATGAATTGTGTGTAGCTACATTGGTAAAAAGAAAAACAAGCACCGGATGATTTACTTTGAGAATATCAGGCCATACATCTTCAATGCAACCACAAATAAACACAATATGGCAGCCATTTACATCCCCTGAAATGACACGGTGACTGCCTTCTGTTTAGTGTTCATTGTTCTGTAGCGACTGGAACGGATTCACAGCCATGTCAACCTCCAGCACGAGGCAAATCACTATAAAAAGGCTGCTCCCAGGGATGTTTGCGATTTTAGCTATCAAAAAGCCCTTTTCGCCGCTCTGTGATTTCACACATGGATTCTAGAGATAAGGGTGGGAGAGCAGAAAAAGGGGGAGCCGGGGTAAACAAACAAATGACTTACTGCCAGAACCTCGATGTCATTGGTTTTGTTCTGTAAATTGCTCGCGAGATTTTGTAATCTGGTTTGGATCTGAAAGAGAGAGTTAGAAAGGAACAAATAAGAGAAAGAACAAATTGAAAAGGATGAAAGTAAAT